CGGGGCGGAGCAGGGCGGCCGGGGCCATCGAGTGCCCTCAGAAATAACCCTCTTCCCAGGGAAATTTGTTAGGGGAAATTACCAGTCTGGTGAATTACTGCGTGTCCTAGAAGGACTGCCACCTGGCAGAGGTGAAACGAGCCTGCGTGTGTGAAACGGGCACGTCCTGACCAGCCTGCAGGACTGAGAGTAACTGCCGGGGTCCTGAATGATCAGGGATCTCATAGTTTAGCGTCCGTTGGCCACTGTCCACTGCTCCACATAGGTAGTTTACTCTAGGCAAGGATATTAAGAGTGCTAATAGCTGGAAATAAAACACTTCAAAGCTATAAGCTGCTAGCAGCATGGCATTGTTTTAGTAGCGGTCCTGTTAAATATGTGACTGTGTGTCCATCCGGATTGTGTTTTGGCAGCCACCCCTGGGAAACGGTAACAACAGCTGCCATGCAGAAGTACCCAAACCCGATGAACCCCAGCGTGGTCGGCGTGGACGTTCTGGACAGACATGTAGACCCGAGCGGGAAGCTGCACAGCCACCGGCTGCTCAGTACGGAGTGGGGGATTCCCTCGATTGTGAAATCGGTGCGTGGTTTATTGCAGGGCTTGAGAAAGACCCCTGGGAGAGAGGAAGCTTGAGAAGTGTGTTGTTGTAATAGAACGTGTCTAAAATACATTTATTTTTCAGTTAAGCTCAACGGCAGGACACATAATGGCTCTCAGGTAGTTGCAGATGAGCTATATTTTAGATTTTCTTTTTTTTAAAGTCTACCTTTTGTTTGGTTTTAAACTAAACCCTAGTCCCGTTGTTTCCAAGTTTATTCAGTATAATAATCAGTACTTATGCATTTAAAGGCAATAAAAAAATGGCAGTTCCACAGAAAAAATAATTACAGCGTGCGAGTGTGTAATCCCCAGGACCTGTCTTGCAGCTCATCGGCACATGCAGAACCAGGACGTACGTTCAGGAGCACTCTGTCGTCGACCCAGTGAAAAAAACAATGGAGCTTAAATCCAGTAATGTAAGTACTATAGCCTAGATCATACTATTCAGATAGTTTACAGATCAAGAATATTATATGTATGATAAAGAAAAGTCATCTGGAAAATGACTTGAAAATTGCAGTAGGAAAATACAGGTTAAAGACAAGTCACATGTTTATAGTTAAATGTACTATTCATTACTTCTGGTTTTCAGAAAGAAACTACTAGTATGGGAATTTGGTGTCAACACTGTCTAATGTATGAGGGTGCTGATGAGGAGAATACCAGTATTCTCATTTTTTAGAACAATTAAAAGCCCTTTGCTGTACAGTATGGCCATATGGCTGTTCTCCTTTTGTGTAATGTTTTGCTTTATGAACCACTCTGTTTAATATCACTGTTAAATCTTGATTTAAAAACTTGATAGTTTTATGATGGTAAAGGATTGATATATGAAATGCAAGGAAAAATAAGTAGCTAAGCAAATGCTGAATTTGAAAAAGTATATTTTGTGTGTATGTATAAATGTATATTTGAAATGTATATTTTTAGGATATACAAAATATCCTGATTTTGTATATCCTAAATGCTAATCTGAGTCCTAGCAAGGAAAATGTTTAAATCAGTCACACAGTTATGACCATAAGCTTTGTCTCTGTCATCTTATTTATTACATTCCTTCAATATTTTTATTGAGAGCTTTACTAAGGGGTTATCTTTTTTATGTTCCACAGATTTCATTTACAAACCTCGTGTCAGTGGATGAGAGGCTTGTCTACAAACCACACCCGCATGAACCACACAAGTAAGTACAGCCTGGTCCTTCCCAAGACTGCCCTGAAGTAGATTTTGACCTTGCAAATTCCCCTGGTCTCTCTCGAACAGAAGATGATGCTGTGGGGGTAGCAGCACCTGTGTTGTGGTATCTTTTCCAAGGATTATATAGACCATCATTTTTCCTAGTGACCCTGCTTCTGCAGAGCACCCTGAGAGAAGGACTGTCATACCATGGTGGAGTTCAATTCAGACCTGATTTTCAGGGAGTTTTCTTATGTCTTTTCTATAACTAAGATTAGAATAGTTAGGAGCTGCTTATTTGTGATCCTTTCATCAAGTTGGGCACTGAATCTGCATCTTTTGACTACCTCCAGACTGTATTTTTGGAGGATGAAAAGGCAGTTTTAAAGCCTGCCAAGTGTGTAATGTCATAGTGAGCAGTATATTTCAATTATCTTTGTAAGGATTGCTCCTTAAGAGGTTTTTTTCCCCCATGACAATGGGCGATATTAAATCACTGTTATTAAAGGAGAAGTCTAAATACCATCCTGGAAATCAGTGGTTTTCTTGGTATGTTTTCAGTCCAAACCTGCTGCATTCATTACTTCCTGTTGCTGAAGATGGGAATAGTTGAGCGCCACAAGGGCCTCCTTGCACTTCGTGGGGATATCTGGGTTTTATTTTAGGAACATGCGAATAGGTGAACAAAGCAGTTAAGTTCTGTCAAGGGGATGTACTTGCTGGGAGGGCAGTTTTCTTTTCTGTTTCAGTGTACTCGGGGAAAACTCATTTTGCTCTTCTATTTCAGAACCGTTTTGACACAAGAAGCAATAATATCTGTGAAAGGTGTCAGTCTTAGTAGTTACCTAGAAGGGTTAATGGCAAACACCATCTCTTCCAATGCTAATAAAGTAAGTATGACCATTCTGTAAAATGTGTGACTCCTGGCTAAATGTTACAGTGAATAAAAACCTGTATTTTACATCTTGAGTTCAAGCTCAAAAATGATAAAACGCCGCACAGTAAGGAGCCATACGGAAGGCGGCTTCAGAAGGAATTTCTTCATGAGCAGTATAAAGCAGTACAGACTTCCACAGAGGTCTGGTTCTTGAAATTTAAGAAGTATTACTCTGGCATGTATTTCTGTGCCTTTGCTTCTCTTTTCAACTGTTGTTTCCTAAGTAATTTTTCAAGATTAATCTATTTACTTATTTGTCAGGATTTATATACTGATAATTTTTTCTTTAACCTTAGGGCCGTGAAGCATTGGAATGGGTAATTAATAAACTGAATGCTGAAATTGAGGAGTTCGCTGCTTCAGCAAGAGGAACCATGAGGAATTCAATGGCAGCAGCAGCATTTGTAGAGAAATGATAGTAAATATACCTTTATTACTAAGCAGGTTTAAATCTAATGCTTCTCTCCAAACCTATACTTTTTTTTTTTCTCTAAAGACGTACCTGTGAATTAGGTATGTTTCAAATTACTTTTGGAGAAAAGCTAAAATTTTACTAATGAGGCTGATGTGCAAAGCTTAAATAATATATTGGTTCTGCTGGACTGGACTTGGTTACCGATGAAGAAATAATTTTCAAGTGTAGTTCCTGTATTTACACGAACACTAACTTAAGTGTTTTCAAATATGGAGGTCTCTTACAGAGCTGAGGCTGCATATGTTGGAGGAGACTGGCATGTTAGGTTGACTTCAGTGGAATTTTTTTTTTGTGTGTCATTCAAGGACTACCTCTTTTGGGACCAAGCCCCAAATTAACAGAATGGTTTGTTCTAGCATTGTTCTGTTTGTTGATTTTTGACAGTTGTGTGATACAACTTGGTTTAGCAGAAAGTTTATTACTTGAAACTTGAAGTACAAAAGAATGTACAAAATATTTTTTGATAAACTTTTTAGCTTTTGTTTGGTTGGTTGATCTAACATGGTACTCAATCTGTTTTTACAGCCAGTATGGGTAAAACATGCAAAACATCTCTAGCCCACTAAGCCCTAAATTCTGCTCCTAAATATGACATTGATGAGTTGTGCATGCAGTAATTGAAGGTAGAATTTGAATGGGTAGGATATATAACTTCCATTTTTGAAATCCCATTAAATAAAGGGATATACTAAGCCTAAATACTCATATCTAGCAAGCTCTAAGAAAAGTAGGCATTCACTTTAAATATAGAAGAAACACTTAAAGGATAAAAACCTCTCAGTCACTAAAAAGATACTTAAATGTAAGAGGAAGCCCTATTAGCTGTTCATAGAACGATTAACACAATCATGCTCTAAAAATAACCTGTTACATCAACTGAATATTGTGTTGTCCTTTAATTTAAACATAGTATCTTGACTAGCATATCCTGTTCTAATCCAAATTTTTGGAAGTTTATCTTTTAAATTAATTTGCTTACAAACCAGTATTTTGAAATGAAAGCCTTGAGAATAAAAAGTTTTGTATAGTTTGAGTATGTTTTTTGGTACTAGCTATAGTTTATTGGTACTGTCTGTAGTACTCAGCTGTGGGAACTTAGAGGTTAGACTTGACCATTCTTATTTCATACTCTATCACTCCACTGGTAGCCCCCTTGACTTCAGTAGAAGTTATCTGTCCTATTATGACTCCTTCATTGTGGGGAGAAAAATGGAAAAAGGCAGCCCTGAATGAACTGATCATCTTGTGTTTTGGTGCCAGAGGCTCTTCCTGGAATTTTGAGTCTAAGTGTCCAAGTAACATCAAATTTATTTCTTTAAAAACTGTAACGTCACCTGTTGTACCACATTTTATTTTGCATGCCATTTCTGTTATAGCAGAGTTGTCTATTGAACAGTGTCTGCTAAACAGAGCACCAGAGCTTGTTTTAAGTGATGAATATGAGGGAACACAATCATCCATAAAACCTTTTGTGTAGAGGGGAAAAAAACAGGTATGTGTATGTATACTTTTTAAAAAATTAACTATTTTAAATATTTTTCTAAAAAATGTTTGAGACTTTACCTTTGTAAATTGAAACCACCCAGATTTGACATGCTTTTACATAACATTATTACAACTGCAATAGCATTTCAGCTTAAAAAAAGTATGTGAAACAAGAAATTGTACCATCACTTCTGTTAAAAAGAGATGCAATGCTTGAAAACATTTATTTAATATTTGTTTAGCCTTAAGCATCACGTAGTTCTGGGCTTATTATAGTCAGCCTATTCTTTTTCTAATTTATCTGCACTAAGGACTGCACAGTATGAACTCACTGTTTGAAGTTGCACTGAAAAAAAAATAGGCTATTTAATATTTGCAAGCATCCAGTAGCTTCTTGGAAGATCATGATTTTCTTTGTCCTATTTTGTTTTTTATGGCTGCATTGTCATTCTGTCAGGGAGTATGGTTTTCTGTATGTGGCGCTTTTTAAATAAAACTGTATGTGAGTTCTGGCTAGTTCCTAAAATGTAATGCTAAATTTGGGTGGGAAGGGACTTGACTGCTGAGTGAATAATGTAGAATGGGAAGGGTGAAGGTGATGAAATGCTGTGGCTTTTTAAATTATTTTTTAAACTCAAATGTCTATCCTAAAATGCGTATTTTCAGTGGTAATAAACCCATTTGCAGCTGATGTGGTCTCTTTCGCTTAATAACTCTGCTTTTTCTGTAAATATGGCATACTGTAACGCATACTAGATTTCCCAGCCTGCTAGATCCTGTGGCAAGATTTTCATTCTACTTGGGCTGAGATTCATATGCTAAAACTTACCTGCCAAGGACTGTGTCCTGCTCCATAGAATCTACATGCACACACACTGAATAGCAAACGAGAGCAAAATGTTTGGGTCTGGACAGAAATGTGTGAGCTTATCTGTTTACACAGACTCCTCATCTGCCTGCAGGAGTTTTGATTGAGGTGAGGGGATGTGCTGGGCAGCAGGTAGGTGGCGTTTGCTGTCCTGTACCAGAGAGGAAAGGCTGCCCCTCCTGGTGCTCTGTGTTCCTTAGCCAAAGGAGCCTGCCCTGCATCCCCGGCCCTGCGCTGCAGGGCTGGCAGGGGCCGGGGGAAGCTGCTCGGGTAATAACGATAACTGCAGCGAGCGTGACCTGAGCTGGCGCAGGGAAGCTGTGGCTTCACGTGGTTGCTAGAAGTAGAGGAAATAGGAAAGAAGGAAACTGACCTAAAGCAACAGGGGGGAAAAAGAAATAGGAAAGAAAAGGGAGGCTCTCCCTGGAGGAGGGACCTGCTCTGACTCACAGTCCTCCTTAAAACAAGCTGCATCCAGAAAAACTATTAAAAAAAAAAGAATTGCAATAGCTGAAAGTTTGGTGACCTGGCTAGCTTAATGCCTTCTTCTGTTGAAACTGAACATCTATATTCTCTGTTGAGTGTAATGGAAATAGGTATTCTTCGCAAGTAGGCCCATGGACACAGATTAAAGCCTGTGGAAGAAAATCTCCTGAATTAAACTGCTTACCTGAGTTACATCAGAAGTGGAAAGAAGGAGATGGAAATTTTTTGAAGTTTTATGTAAGAATCAGATATCAGTACTGGGGTTTTAGTAAAGATTTTTAGTTGTTAATTACGCTTACCTTGCCCTTTATGTTGTGATTTAAAGAGGCTTGGTGTGGCTGAAACAGCAGTAGGTGAATTCGTTTTGCATTAATTGCAAGGTATTCCAAAAATAGATCCATCATGACTTAACCTTGCCTTGCTGGTGTGTAGCTGTCTAGCTTCTACCTACCCAAATTTTAGCTTGTTGAGAGTAAAATTTATGCAGTACAAATTTGCTAATAGCTTCATATTCTAGTATTCTGAAAAGCATTGCAAGCAACAGTCTTAAATGGTTAAAAAATGCTACTCTGGAAGAAAGCAAATTCCTAAACTTACTGTGACATGAAAATGATTTGTGTATGAACACTAAGATAATAGGTATTTGTTTAATCACTGATTAAAACAGAGTACTTGTAAATGAAGGTTTCATTTGCCTGAGAAGCATTTCTTTTTGCTGACAATGGGTGTCAGCATCAGTTGAGTTTTATAGGCACTAACTGCAAATGTAAAACAATTGTTAATCATTATTTTGGAAAATTGCACATAGAAGAAGCTTTAACAGAGAATTCCTACAACGTTGTTGACCTGTGGTCCTGTCTGTTGCAGTCTGTAACTGCAGTTAAATTGTACGGTCTAGCCTATTGCCACCAAGTCTTAAATCAGAAACCCTAAGCACCCAAGCCTAGTAATTGCAGCCTTTCAGCCTCCCTCACCATTGATGCTGACAGCTCTCTTCGAAGGAAAGATCAGCATCTTGCTGAAGTTAAAGTTTATAGAACTGAAAAGCACCTAAAGCTCGCATAAAAACACTAAGTCATTTTGGAATCTTTCCATTTCTAAAGCTGAAGGCTATTCTTTCACTGGTGGAGGACCTTTTCTTTCTCAATTTCATCGTTTTCGCTTACATATTGCCATAAAATTGAATGCTTCTAAAGGTGACACCGGATCATGGTCTGTAGAATTACAGTTAGTCCCCAACTGGTGTCAATGCTTGGCAAAAAGTTAATTTTATTTCCTATATCATAATGTGCATTATTATAACAGTAAAACTACATTTGTGTGAAATGGTAGTATCAATTTAAATGCTGAAGATCTATTCTCTCTCTTCACACATATATATCATAAGTAGTATAACACAAGATGGCTTTTTGCCATGTTCTTTCTCTCTTTAAAAATGCTGAGGTCCTTAGCCTTCTTCCTGTCACCTGGGTGTTTTTGAAACTTTTATCCACTATTATTATCATATGTGAACAGAAAGTTTTACATTATCACACTTTAAAAGTAACCAAGTTAGCATAGAGATTATTCAATATATTAAAATAATTCCTGATGCACAACGTAAAACTTGAAAGTACCTGAATTCTGATCTGTGGATCCTGGGTCCCTCCTGAGAAAATTTGTGCCAGGTTTTGTAGAATGGGCAGCTGAGAACTTGAATGATATTCTCAGAATTATTTCTACTTTAAATCCAGGTGCCCAAAAGTTAAAAATTAATGTCTTCATTTGCTAACTCAGCTAGTCTTCAAAATGTCCTGTAAAAGGAATCAGTTCAGAACTGTACCTTTTTCTTAAAATTAGGCTGATTTTAGAGTGCGCTTTCAGCTGTTGCTGTGTGGTGAGTGTTGTACTTGACAGGAAGTGACAGGAAGTATTTAACAGGAGATGACCTGTACTGTCATCAGCACATGACTTCCAGTAGCTGTACAACAGATTAGGGTCATGAGCAGAAAGACGGCAGAGCTTTAGCGGCACAGCCCAGTATGGCTTACGCAGGCAGAGACAGGAGATAAGACCACAGCTATCAGAGGTAGGAAGAATTATTACTGGTGTATTTTACATGATAATAACTATAACTTCATGCTTCTTGGCTATCTATCTTATTCAAGGAAAATGTGCAGTATCTCTGCCATTTGAAATTAGGACAAAAGGAATAGAGGGAAGGGATAATGGAATTTATAATCTATTGAAAATCATGTTGATATTGGCTTTTTTTTATAATTTGGTTTATGTATTGGCTTGGCTTCTTCTGTACAATCCATTTGAGACCTTTCTAAATTAAGTCACAAAATGCTAGCAAAGGATTTTTGAGGTTAATGATTTTAAATTCTGCTATGAATATAGGACAGCAGGCAAGCTTGTAATCTTATCACAAATATTATACATGTTGAAAGATTCATGTTTTCCCTTTTTGATCTATAAACTTTATACTCTTGATAAAATTACAACCACGTTGCATGAGCTCTAAAATTGTAAATATATTATGAATAAAGTGTATTCAATAGCTATTTCATTTCTAGTGAGACTAGAAATTTCATTTCACTGAGACTTTTAAATAAGTGAGAATCTTAAATGAGCAACTTGTCTTAGTCTAGTAATTTTTGTGTTCTGCTCAATTGGCCCAGTTTTCCTATTGCT